AGACCCAAGAGATGAAGAAAAGCTGAAAACGTCGAAGAACTGAGGAAGAAAAGCTGAAAATGTCGTCCGTCGAAGAACTGAGGAAGAAGAAGAACCAAAAAAGAAAAGAGATTTTGTTTAATTTTGAATTAAACCCCACTAAAACGACGTCGTTTTGGGGTGAGCAATGGTTTTTTTTTTTTTTTGCAATAATTGCGAATAATACGCGGTATTCATATATACGCAATAATTCGGCCGTTTTTATAAACATACGTCAAAAATGCGTATAAAACGAGTATTTACTAACTTGGGTTATAAGAAGCACATTCATAAAAGAAGCTCTTTATTGAGATAGGTGTATGTGCGATGTCTAATACTTGATATGTACTGTCATAATGTTAATGTATAGTGCACGTTGTGGAAGCTAATGTAGAACATTACAATAGTATCATAAAGTGTTAAGGATATAAAGTCAACTCCTTGAGCTCACTATAATTACAGAAATTCACTTACGATTTTGAAATAATAAAATTTCTTATTATTAATAAAAGTATTAGGCGGCTAGAACATATATCTATAAAATTAACAAATATTTATTAAATTGTCCTAATTCTATATTTAAACCTTATAATTAACAGAAAGATTTTTATTATTTTATAAATTGATTATTTTATTATATAACCTCAACGCTGTCAATATAACTCTATTGTATAATACAAAACTAGTAATTATAATAAACTACACAAAACTATTATTTTAGTAATGTGATATTTCAGAAATTAATTAGCGTGATAATCTTATTAATCCCTTGAATTTTAAAATTATCACATTCGATTATGTGAAATATGATTTGTTATATTTAAAAGTTTAAAGAATAAATAGAAAAAAAAAATTATATATCATTGTAAATTAAATATGAAATCAATAGCATGATTTTTTAAATCTTAATTTTATTAAAAAAAGGTAAAAAAAAAATACAATTGAATAATCTATAAATTTCGAAATTAAAGGTGGTTTGAATAGGAAAGATTGATACTTGACATAAGTTTGCAATTTGAAAACCTTAAAGGTTGTTTGTGAAATTTGTCAAAACATTTCTCTTTAGGCGTTTGCCTTTTGCAAGGCTTACTTCAGAAAAAACGACCCACAAAAAACACTTCAATTCATACATGGCTTTGAGATTCAGATCCCTATTTCGTTCGTCTTCAATCTCAAAACCCATCTTCGAAAGTTAATGTTTTATTTTTGTTAGCCACTTACCACACTCCATCTTAAGCTCCAAAAATGAAGTTCCGTATTTTTCAAAAAACCCTCGACGAATCCTCACTTGCTAAATCACGAGAAAATTGTCGATCAGGTAGTTTACTCTGAATGAAGCATTGTACTTTTTTTATTACATGATTAATATGAAACCCCTTCTCCAATTTCATCATTCACTACTTTGTTTAGTGCACTAGCCAAGAAGAAGCATCATATGAAGTGATTTTGCTATATAAGCTGTTGAATTCAACTGGGTTGTCTCAGATTTAAGATCTTTGAATGTTTTGATGAATGCTTTGTGATATTGAAAGGGTTTTGGATAGTTTTGCGGTTTTTGGGGGGATTTGAAGAAGGGTTTTAGCCAAAATGTCATGACTTTAATTGTTGATTAAAGGTCTGTTGTACGAGAGAAAGATTATGGAATCAATGGAATTGTTTAAGCAAATGATTGTTGTTGGTTGTAGGGCTAAGTGATCACTTGCAAATACTTGATTGGTGGATTGTGTAAAACAGAGAAAATAAGTGTTGCCATTAAGTTGCTTGAAGAGATGGTTAATGGGAATAAAGAACTGGTGTTATTTGTAGGCTAGAGTTGTTACTTATAATTATAGTTGATGGTTCTTGTAAGGCTAGATTGCTTGAGAGGCTAGACACTATTGTTGGAACATATGATTCAGAGAGGTGTGGTTCCTAACATTTATATACAACATTTTGATAAACGGTTATTGCTTGGCAAATAGAATTGGTGATGTAAGGAGTTGTTTGATTCTATAACTAGAAAAGGGGTATAGGCCTAATGTGTTTGCTACAATACTTAATCAATGGTATTGCAAGAATAAAGAAGTCAATGAAGCTCTTAGTCTTTACGAGAGATGATTTCAGAAGGAATTAGGCCTAATGTGATTACATATAACCTGTTAAATGGCTTTTTTCTTTATAGCAAAGGTGAAAGATGCACGGAATTTAGTTGGTGAGATGCCAACTTAACGATGCTTTTCTGATTCTTGGACATATAAACATTTCATTAAGGACTTGCAAGAATGGATATGTTGGAAGCGGTGGAAATGTTTAATGCTCTAGTAAATACAAGTTTGCAGTTGGCATTGAAGGTTGATCCCTCATGATGGATTATGTAAAACAGGGAGATTCGAAACTGCTTGGGACCTATTCAGAAGTCTCTCTTCATGGAAACCTAGTGCCAGATGTTGTAACATATAGCATTTTGATCAATGGGCTGTGTAAAAATGGACAACTAGAAATGGCAAATGAGTTGTTGTCATATATGGAGGAAAAGGTGTGCTCCAAATGTAGTACATTTACTACGCCTTATGTTTGGTTTCCTCAAGAATAATGAGATACCAAAAGGTGTGAACTCTTCATAAGATGGTGGAGAGAAATGTGAAGCCGACTGAATGTACAATGTCCTTAGTCATGCAGTTACTAATGAAGGCCGAAAATTATAGTGAATGTTTGAACGAGCTTCCTCAATTTCAGGTCCAAAAGCAAATTGATGTTACGTGATAAAACTTTAGCAAGTTTTTGGGAGCAGAATCCTACAAAAGTTCATCCAGCTGCCCAAATGCTCTATATTGGTTAGGTAAGCAGAAAGTTCAGTAAACACTTTTATCTGTCGAATTTGATAGGGATGGTGGGGGGATGATTGAGAATGATAGCTTCCTGATCAGACATACGATACGTAATCTGTCTCTGTTGTAAGTACATATATTGGAGGTGGCAGCATTGCAGGTTTGGGTTTGGATGCACTGTAGTAGATTTAAGGGTTTGCGATTATTTTGGTGTAAATTTCGGTAAGCAAAAGTTGTTATGAGGAATGTGGAAGGTTCTTACTTCAACTACGACAATAATGGTATACGTCAAGTTCATCTATTCAAGCTAATCAGTTTACTGGACAAGGTATGTTTGCAACTGATTGATTATTCATTGATATTCTAATTATTCGGGCCTGATAAATCTGGATTTATTTATAGTGTTTCACATGTTTCTGTTCTCAATATTTATTGTTTTTTAGTTCAGTCTGAAAAGACTGAAACTACCAGTGTGTCTTTAATGTAGTTATGCACGAGCATGTGCTCTTTCAGCAAAAGTTGATGAAGACAAAGCAAAAAAAGAGCATTAGCGAAGGTTTTTCACTTGAATATCTTAAAGAATATGGAGCACAAAAGGGGCCGGTCAATGGGATTACTTGTGGAACAGTTAAATGACAATTGCGGTCAAGAAAAATATGGTTGTGTTACATGTGCAGTTGCTGTAACTATGATCATGGAGATTTGGTCGATATGGGATTTCAAATTGCCATTGAAATCTATGAAGCAGCATGGTCTGAAAATGCACTCGTGTAAGAACCCCTAGTTAGTTAAGTAGGATGTGTTAACACTAAGGTATGAGTTTGTGTTTTTTAGATCTAAATCTATCTCAAATCTGTATAGATTTCATTTCATCATCTGTTTTGTCAGTTCATTTATTTTTTTTGGTGGATGTACTGTTTAACCATTTTCTAGTAGATTTTTGATGTTGTGAAATGTTGGACAAAACTCGGGTAGTTATAATGTCTAGTAGATAATATTTTTGCTCCTTAGGTGATGGAGGGGGAGAAGAATATCATAGATAGATAATATAGGATTCTATATAGGGTGATAGAGAGAAATTAATAGGTTAAGAGGAGAAATCAAGAAAGGGATACCAAGGACTCAAATACTCGATCCTAAAATGTAGAAGATAAAGGACTAAATACCCATTTGCATCCTTCCTTTATGTCCTGCATAGTCAGGTGACTGCCTTTAGGATAAATTTCTGCTGACTACAATTGGAAACTTTAATTCTTCATAATTTACGCTGAAAAATATCTACTCCAGAACTATTTGTTCCTGATAATTGAGTGACTCGTTGCTGTTTTCTGCGTAGTTATTCTTTCTAAACTCCTGAAGCTTGGACCACGATTGATTGTTTTACTGCACTAAAATACATGCATTCGTTGGCTATATGGGCAATGGACTCTTAAAAGGCCAAAACCTTTTAGGAATGGGATGAAACCAACAATAAATGAAGAATGTCTTTATAGATATCATGCAGGATTCTGCAAAGTTGCTCACCTTCTAAAGGTACCAGATGAGAAAACACTTGAAGGTTTTTTATAGTCACTCTTGTATTACAATTGCAAGAAGATGTTTCCATAATTGATTGGTTCTTGTGACTTATTACTGTCATTCAATTTTATGTACAGTTAATTAGTTGTATTTTAAAAGAAAACATTTGAAATGCTTATGTAAATTATATTGTTCAACTATTAGTCATTCGATTCTTGTAACTATTTTCAGAATTTAGTTTTGATGGGTGGCATTGTTTCCAAATTTTGCAAGAAATAAAGGTCATAACAGAGACTACAATGTTATAGGAACTAGGAAGCACATTCATAAAAAAAGTTCTTTATTAAGATAGGTGTATGTTTGATTGTTTAATCACTTGATATGTGTTGATCATATCTGTTAATGTATCAGTTAACATTTATGATCAGTTCAGTAGCAGTTATTAGTTTTATAGTATCAGATCAATTTTCTGTTTTGCAATATTAGAACAATTATTAGTTCATGGTATCAGTTCATTTATCAGTTATTAGTTTTAATGTATCAGAAATGAACTAAAAAAGTAAACAGTTAATAATAATAATTTCAGTACTAGATACTCGACATTAAAAAATCTTCCGTATTAGAATTAGAATATATATATGGTGGTGAAGTGTGATTTTAAAAAATTAGGGAAATTTCACGCCAAATCTCTAGGTACCGTTGCAATAAACCCAACCCTTTAGTACACTTGAGAGAAACACAGAGCAAACGAAGCAGAAGAATGGAACCAGAAGATCAAACCCTAGCGCCAAAAACTCAAGAAGAAGAAGACACAGACACGGCTATGGCGGATACTAATGAAAACCCAGAAGCAATAGAGCCGGAGTCTCCAGACTCAAGTGACTTGAACTCAGACTTAGAATATGAAGCACAGCAAAAATTTGAGCTTCAAGACATCGAGGCCTTGCTTGCCAATGAACCCTCCAACTATGAAGTTCATGTTCAAGTACGTTTTTATATCAATTTGAATATAAATTTCAATACCCAGTTCTTGGATTTTTGTTTTTGGTAATATTATTGTTTTGCTTTTTTATTGTTTTTGTTGGTGGTTTTAGTATATAAGGGTTTTGAGGAAGATGGGTGAGATTGAGAAGCTGAGACAAGCAAGAGAAGCTATGAATGAGATTTTTCCATTGACTCTTGTTATGTGGCAAGAGTGGGCTTGAGATGAAGCTTCTATTTCAATGGGGTATGTTTTAGTTTTTTTCGTTTTGTGTTCTTGTTATTGGTTTCATGATTGAATTTTAATCGCTTAGGGTTTATGGTTAATGAGAGAAAGTATAAAGAGAAAAATTAAATGGATTCGTTTGAAAGGAGGAAGTGTTTATCTTTTGGGGTATAAATGGTCAAAACAATGTTGAATTAAAGTTTATGTGACTTCTATCTACTGAGCCTTAGCTCAAATGTCAGCTTAATTGAGTAAAAGAAATGAAGTTTTGAGCTTTCTTCCTTTCTATTTTTTTTTTCGTACGTTGTAACTAGGAAGCAGTGATGGTTGACTTGGGAGGTTAGTTTTCGATAATTTGCAGTTGTCTGATATTTTGTTTGTCTATAGATTTTGAGTTCCTTCTTCTCATTGCTTTTATGAACAGCTTGCTTGCCCGCATAAGAAAAGTGTTAATGGAAGGAGAAAAACAGATTCAAACATGACTGACGAACAGTCTCCAGCTAAGCAGCAGAAAAATACTGTCTAAAACCCAAACAAAGTGCATGGGAAAGAAAAGGGACGAGTACAGAACTTAGCTGAAGAAAACAAAGTAGAAGAAGCAAAACCCAAGTTTGAAGAGCATCCAAATGACCAACACATCAAAGACTTCACCATTGGAAGAGCCAAAGTATACACTGATAAGTGTACTGCATTTTTATCAAACCTTAACTTTAGGCCAAGTAGAGATTCTCTCGCACTTCAGAGAGAGATTGCATTTTATTCTTTTTTGACGCTAGATAGGCAAATACAGAGATAATTCTGATGGTTTTAAATTTTTTTCAGGCAACTTTTGAAGATCTGAAAAAATTCTTTAGCCATGTTGGTGGGTTGAATCTGTTCGAATTCTGCAAGACAAGTTCACCAGAAAGTCAAGGGTATGACTCTGTTTCTCTCATTCATTATTTGTTAATGTTCTTTGTGCATTATGCTTCAAATGAAAAAAGGGAAGCTATCCAATGGACCTTCCATGTGCACATCAGTCTTACAGTCAAATCTTTATTTAACATTGCCTGACCTTTAAACAAGGGGATGAAAAAAAAACCCAGAATCCGAACCGGACCGAAAATCTGGTTTTTTTCAGTTTCGGTTTGATTATTAAAAAAATCGAAAATCCGGTTCGGTTTCGGTTTTTGGCAAAATAAATTCTGGTTACCCAGAACTGGTTTTCTGAATCAAATATTAAAAAAAAATATATGGTATTGTCAATTGTGGTTTACAACTTTACGTTTTAAAACTAACAGTCTAACAAGCTAAGACTCCCTAACACTACTCACTACTCACTCAGTATAATACTCATTCTTAGACTTCTCACTGTCGCACGCCGCAGCCGCACGGTACTCAGTCTACTGAAGTCACTACTCACTTACTCAGATCAAACCTCATGGCTCACTCACCTCAGACCTCAGTAAGTCTCGCATTCTCTCTCTCTGTCCCTCACTCTCACGCTAAGTCTCATTCTCGTTCTCTGTCTCTCACTCTCTGTCAGACTCTCACTGTCTCTCTGTTTTTAGATCTGTGTTCTCACGTCGTCGTCGCTCAGCTGCAGTCACCGTCGTCGCAGTCACCATCGTCGTCTATTTCCAGTGGGTTTTAGATATGGCTTTTCAGATCTTTGTTGTCACGTCGTCTGTTTTCAGATTTGGGTTTTGACATTGAAGCATTTTTGTTTTAATTTGTATATGTACTGATGGCTGGGTTTTGACATTGAGCCATCAACACATTTTGTATATTAAATTTTGTGCAGCAAACACAACACCACTAATCTTATCTACCACGACCAGACATAAATGATGCATGGAAAATATCTGTATTGGGACCATCAGTCTTTCTCTGCTTCAAGTTCCATTCTCTTCTGCTCTGCTTTTAAGCTTTCGTTTCTTCATCTGCAAATGCAAAACCTCCCAATAGAATATGTAGATCTAGAAATTCTCAGTGCTAATATCAAATTTGTGTAGCAAACAAAACAAAAAGGAAATTGCAAAACAAGATTAAACGATAGAAAAATTACTTGATTAGTACAATATTTAGCGAAAAGAAATAGCTATTCTTGTTGTTTTTAAGTAGAACAAGGCCGTTTAGTTTGCTTGATTAGCAGTTAAAAAGAGAAAACAAATAAAAAGAGAAAACCGAATTGGGCTAAAAAATGCAACCCATAATTCATAATTGGGCCAAAAAATGCAGCCCAATATTAATCCTAATTAACCGGTTTAGAACCGATTAACCGGACTGGTTTCGGTTCAATTAATTTTTTGAACCAAAAACTGGTTCGGTTCAAGCTTCCGATTAACCGGTTTTTTCCACCCCTACTTTAAACTTCAACATGTGTACGCATAATGTGGATTGTACCACAGGAATTAGCCTTAAGAAACTAATTTTAATGAGACTGGAAGATCAGCATGGTTGATGCTTCGGGGAGATAGAAACTGCTAAATGCAGTCCATTCTCTTTGATCAAATTTCTCAAGGGTGCTCACTGAAATTTCAATTTGATTTTTCCTTTCATGCTGTCAATAAATCATTTAGTTCTTACGCTTTTGGTTTAAGATGAATGTCCTTGCCAGAGACGATTACGCAGTCTCAAATAAACCTACTGAAGGGTTGAATTCCATAATTATGGTATAATTGCTTAATTTTCTAAGTATAAAGAGTCTAACTGTCTAAGAGCATATTTTTTCATTTTGATAGCAAGTGATATGCTTAGGAGACTCAACCATAGTCCCATACAGATTTACCCATATTCCAGCTTGCCCTATGTCTGGAACCGTTGCACACTAATTTATAATATCCTTTGGTCGATTTTTAAGGCTGGCATGAGCGTGATTTTGCCGAGGATGCCACACCTACTGTAGCTATAGGAAAGAACAAACAAATGTTTGTTGAAGAAGATAAGCATTACAAGATCAAATCCAAGCAAAGGAGAAAGGATTCTGCTGGTCATGGGGCCTCTAGAGAACATGGTAGGCTAAGTGGAATTAGGTTTTATCTTTGTATTAGTGTGTGTTGTGTGTTTTGTGTACAATGCAGTCTTAGACATTTGCATGTTTTGTTTCCCACTTCTACATTTTATTTTCTTACTCCTTTGGGTTAAATGGCAGCCACAAGTAGTAATCAAACTTTTAGGGAGTCTAGAGCACCACACTATGCTGCTAATAAATGTATGATAACATTCAGCTGAAGGGAGGAACACTTTGCAATGCCAAGGATGTCAGACCACTTGGTGTGCCCTGACAAATCCAAAATCTGGGGAAGTGGAAGAGAGAAGCTGAAGTCAAATAATGAGTTTAGAGAAATTTCCTTAAGAATTGAGGTTTGTTCCTGGGTTACATGTTACCTGTTAACAGAATAGCACAGTAATTGACAAACTCTCTTTTCTTATTAAAAAAACATAAGGTTTTGCCTTAATAGTTTCTGTAAACACAATTATGACCAACGATACTGTTTGAGGACAAAAAAGCAATGGCCTTGCATCTCATGCTTGTGGAAAATGTGAAAAATGTCTTTGGTATGGAAATATCGAGGAAGAATGAAGATTCATCTTTATGCTTGCCGTTAAAATTTCTGCACATGTATATTCATTTTGATTGTCTGTTTTGATTGAATATCCATATCTCATATGATATGTTTGTTTCACTTAAACTCTTCATGATTTGTTGGATGCTTTCCTAAAAATTCTCACAGATCAAGAATGAGGTTTTCACTTTGTATATGTTAGTCTTGAATTTGTACCGATCTTCAAAAAAGACCTAATGTTTCACTTTATATTTCAGAATGGAATATTTACATAATCCCCATGATTTAGATTAAACTTATTCCATGGTATTTTTATGAGATTCCTCATTTCTTTAAGCAAGTGCTTAAAGGGTTTAATTGAATTGATCCATGAATCATGTTTCATTTTCCGTTTCCTTTATGTACTAAGGCACTTGTTTTTGTTGATATTGAATAAGTGCACATATGATGTGGTCTTTTGATACTGTTAATGAGTGTATGATAATGATACAATCATTTATGGAAGACATATCACTTCATTTGTATGCCCATCAAAGAATAAATGAACAAATTTGGGCAGCAAGAGCTGCACTTGATTGGGCACTACCAATCGGCTTTGATGGGGCAAAAGGGCACTCAGTTATGTTGCACAGTGAAACTTCAACCTTAAACAAAAAAATCTTGTATGAAGTAATGGCTCTTGCTTGGAATGAACAAACCTGATCAATGTCAGCCCCATTCCAGCGAAAAACAAACAACACACAACCAATACGCACTGAAAAAAGCAATTTCTCCAGTACAAAAAATGTACCATTGGTTACAACTTTGGTGAATCCAGAATCTAAATCGGACTTTAAAATTAATGTTGTCTCTGCTCAAGTGACTAAACAGTGGGAAAAGCACTTATCTATAAATATGGTCTTTCTTGCTTCTAATATAGTAATCAGTTTATGTAAACTTTAGATCTTCTCTTCTTCTTCTCTTCTCTTTTTCAAGGGGGTGGGGGTTGCATAAGAACTTGCAATGTGGCAATAGGTTACTTTTGTCTTTCCTTCTCTAAAGTGCTAATATTAATTTCTAGCTAGAATAATCTTCCTATTTACTTATTTTGTCAATGTGGATGCTCGATTCTGCACATTCATGCAACCTTCTTCTCTTTTGGCATGAGTTTTGCACAAATTCATGAGGCTTGCTTACCATGGCGGGTTTTGCACAAATTCACACAATAATCAAATATAGCAAGTCTTGATCCAACCGAAAATAAAGCTCTTATCTGTAGTTGTCGAAACCTAAACTAAATAGACATGGAATCTACCCTAGGAAAAATCCCAATTAAAATAGGATAAAAAATTTCTTAAATAGGTAAGAAGGTATTTTCAACCTTTTCTCTTTGAAACTGAGAGATCCTGGACTTGTTATCTGTTTATGTTTTTTATATTGATCATCATCCAACACCCTTAATACTACAATTTACATATTTCATTAGAGTCATATAGAATTTTCTTGTTTGGTTTCTAAAAATGGCTTAGTAACTGTAGTAATATGTATTGATGTCTCTTTATCTCCTCAGACTCTTACCACACATATGATTGATAATGACTTTTGCTCCATGGAGAGTTATTTGCTTTTACTTGACAAGCAGCCTATGAAGTTATTTAAAGAGGAATCTGCCAGTACTTTCATCTATTACCTCTGAAGGTATCGATTATTTCTGTTGAACAACCTGAAACTCTGCTAATGATATACTTTCAATACAACTTAAAGCAAGTTTTGAAGTATGTTGCTTTCAGATGACTGACCTAGAGAAAATTCAATTACTTTACATTTATTCTTGCTAGAGTTTGCTAGAGTTTGAGACTAGCTGTTTAATATTGTTTTCCTTGTTCTTTTCTTTTATTTTTCTTTATGTCTGAGCTTTATTATCCAGATATCATGCCCTTGTTATGCGTACGATCTTAATAAATATCTAACAATTAGTACTTCTCCGTTTTATGTTGCAGAGGTTGTCATTGGCTTGGAATATCTTCATTGTTTAGGTATTTTGAGCTACTGAGTGTTAGAGTAGATGTCCTAGAGCCAATCAATTATTGTAGAATTGACTCTTTGTAATAATGTTCATTAATCAATAATAAAAGGCATTTTATTCTATATCGCGTAAATCATTATTATTGCAATATGTATTGATAAATGTCCTTAGAATGGTAAGAACCGTGATGAGGGTATCAAGCGTTTCAAATCTT